GGCGGGAGCGCCGCCGCGCTTCCCAAGCGGCGCACTATCCAGTGTGCCACCAGGCCGGCCCCATAGGTTCTATTTAAAAGGATACTTTCAATCATAAATTTTGGTAAAATTATACTAATTACAGTATTTGCTATCACATGATTCTGAAATCCATATATTTTTCCATATATTTTACTTTTATTTTATATTTATATTCTGAAATCCATATATTTTTCCCAAGCTATAAACTACTAGTAGTTTGAATCTATAATATTGACGAAAAGTAATCCAATTATAGTTTAAAAGACAAGGTAGCTGTTTAGAGGTTTATTAATACAAAAAATACCTTCAAATGTCATTAGAATATGATGCAGTGTTATCATTCTTCCTCAGAAAAAGTCCCTGTTATTACCATTGAGAATTACTGAGCATTTTAAGAACGTCTTAATCCCAGGAAGAATTATCTTTGGATATTTGTTCCTCAAATTCTGAAAAAACAGGCATGGTATTGTATTCTTTTAGAGAGCAAAATAGGAAAGAAAAGATTGTGTTTTCAAAATAAATAAAAACTGCTAACTAAATATATAAAGCCCCTCCCTTCAGTACTAAAAACTTTAGAAAAATAAGTGACTTCAATCTGCAAGGGTCTTTTTCTCCTCAGAGGCTTTGTTTTTGTTTTTTGAGATTGAGTCGTGAAGTCACGACAGACTCAAATCACTGCAGGAGGCAGACCATCCTCACCGCCTTCCAACTCCTCTCCTGTGCTTCCCAAGTCCCCTCCTAACTGTAGAGTGGGGGAACAGCAATTGAAACTGTTCAATTGAAATTCAATCCTGTAAACTCAATCTGGTTCCATAATTTAAAGAGTTCCCATCAGATATTTCAGTTTCAGGCGTCTGTCCTCCCCTTCGGCCTGCTCTTCTCTACGGGGGTGTTTGGCCTAGGATGTCACAGAGGCAGGAAAGGAAACAGGGCCTGGATGCAAGCGTGTGGGTCCCCACCCTGTTCTCGGGCCCACAACCCTATCCTTTGTCCTCCTGGTCACTGGAGTTCCCAGAGGGAGTGTCAGTGCCAGTGAACTCAGCTGTGTTCTGTCACGGCCAGGGGCTGCTGGGCTCCTCTGGTGACTGGGCCCCCCTCCACACTCCTCATACGCTGCACGTTCTCTGCGGTGTGGCTAGGACTCCAGCCAGTCCTGGCCTGGTTTAGCACTTTTTACCTAGAGACCATCGGCTTTATTGTCCAAGCCACGATGCTTTTGAGAGTGAAAGGAGGAGCTACTAATAATTAAGCCAGGGCAACCTGCACAAATAAACTGGAACTTTTCTGAACAAAGTAGGAAACATGATCACTCTACCTTTACCCCCCAGCTAAAGGGTCATTCTGCCACCACCGTGTCAACCCCTGGCCAGCTGAGAGTACGTGGAATTTTCTAGATGTCCTCCATACCGCATGTGAGCGGAGGGAGACTCCAGGAGCTAAACCCAGACTCAACCTGTAACTAAACATTTCATGACACTAATACCGGTGTCATTCTGATGTGGCAGGTTGTTGTGGATGGAGGCAGGCACACCATGAGGCATTTTCCTTTTGATGTTCTACATGAGAAGCAGAGCAAATGTTGCTTTTCTGCCTTTGGCTTTCCTTGAAACCTCCGTAATATGCTTCCCTGCTCTGGAGAGTGATGGCCATAATGATACACATCTCACTGCCTGCTTCCTCCATCCTGTCCCTTGTTCCTTCCTGTACCCACAGTCTCCTGAAGCAGAGGGAGCAGGCTTTCCACATCCTCACTGGACATGCCCTGTGGTGCATGCTGTCTTGAGGACAAAAAGCCATGGCTCAGCCTTCCCAGAGGAAGGAGTGTCCCCTCTATGTTACAGAAGAAATGCTACGATTTAGTCCCCCAGACTTGGCCCTTGAAATGTTAGGGGAACTAAATCAATTTATAAAATCGTCATCTCTCTCACTAAGCCTGACTTGCAAAACCAAAGTCCAAACTAATAATAATAATTCTACTTTAATAATCAAAACATTAATGTATTCTCTTTGCATTTCTGCTAACAACAGCCTGGTCAACCACCTGCCATACCACTGCTTTCAAGGCCCCAGGGTAGACAGCTCTGCTTACAAAGGAGATGGTCAAGTACACAGAATGGCAAAAGAGAAATGTACATTAATCTTTACAAAATTATATTACCCCTGTTTGATTAGGGAAACGAGTTTTATAGCAGTGGTAAGAAAATGAATTCAAATTCAATTAATGACTTGCCTACTTCAAAATAATTTCCAAAATATATAGAATAGATTTTTATATAAAACTATTCATAGCATGTATACATTTATACATAGAACTTTGCTGTGTATTCTGGTAACTACTAGAGCAGTATCTGAACTGCTTTAACCAGGAAAATTTCCCTCAACAGTCCACATTACAAGAAAATATGCAATACTCCAAAAGTTTCTACCTTTATGATTAGTGGCAAACACTCAGGGTGAGAAGGATCCTGATTGAGAAGCATGAAGAAATGGGTGACTTTCCTTTACAGTTGGCACTGTTATGGGATAAAATGTGTCCCCCAATAAAGATATGTTGAAGTCCTAGCCCACTGTACCCCAGAATATGATCTTATTGGAAACAGGGTCTTTTGAGATATAATCAAGTTAAGGTGAGGTCATTAGGGTGGCATCCTTATAAAAAGGGTGGACTTGGACACAGAAGCAGACATGTACAGAGGGAAGATGATGTAAAGACAAAGGGAAAATGCCTGAGCTATTAGAGTGGAGGAGAGAGGCTTCGCAGATTCTCCTTCGCAGCCCTCAGAAAGAAGGAGTCCTGCCAACCACCGTGATTTTGGACTTTAAGCCTCCAGAACTGCGAGACAATGAATTCTGTTGTTTAGACGCCTCCAGAACTGCGAGACAATGAATCCTGTTGTTTAGACCACCCAGTTTGTGGTATTCTGTTATAGCAGCCTCAGGAAACTAATCCAGGCACTGACTCTAAAACTGTGTCTTGCTGTGTTTTGAAACACCTGCGTATGTGTAAATTCAGCCACTACCTGCACCACGTTGCACGGCTGTAACATGTTCTATGAGAGAAAGAAAAACAAGCTGCTTCAAACCCTCTCATTCCTGGGTAAGTCAGATGAGCTGTCACAACTCTCCAGAAAGAAAAGCGAGACTCTGTGGGTAGAGAGCATAAAAGATATCTAGAGGTGAGGCTGGAGGAAATGGAAGACAGAGCTTGCATAGCTGAGAACTAGTGGAAAAGCAAACAAAAACCAATTCTCTACAGAAACACGAAATATCTGAATGAAAAAAAAAATGAGTTCCTAAGGGCCGGCCCGGTGGTGCATTCAGTTGAGTGCGGCGCTTGGGAGTGCTGCGGCGCTCCCGCCGAGGGTTCGGATCCCATATAGAGACCGTCCGCTCACTGGCTGAGTGCGGTGCGGGGGCAACACCGAGGGTTGCAATCCCGTTACCGGTCACGAAAAAAGACAAAAAGGAAAAAAAAAAATGAGTTCCTAAGAAGATGACTGACAGAAAAAGGAAGATTTCAGACCACAAAGAAGAGAAACCATTTTCCCCCCTGAAGATGGAGGGATGTTTTAAAATAGAGGAAATCTACCAGCAGTAGTTAAAAAATAACCACAGAAAGAGACGTCTTCATCAAAGCCATTTAATTATTCTCATGGAAATGTACTTAAAATTGATATTCACCAACATCTACTCACAGATGCAAATGTTCAATAAATCCTTCCTGAAGGAACAGTGCCTATCTTATGGTCCAGTCAATGAAGCACAGAGCATCGACTGCTTGATCAAGACTCTTTACCACTACCTGGTGGCAACATGCACATAGTGAAGAAGCAAAACAGTAACACCTCAGGGGCTCTCATGCAAAACACCCCTAGCACAGCAGTGCTCTGACTAGGGGCATCCATGAGAAATAAGGTCATTCAGGAAAACAACCTCAGGGGCTCTCATGCAAAATGCCCCTAGCACAGCAGTGCTGTGACTAGGGGCATCCATGAGAAATAAGGTCATTCAGGAAAACAACAGTATATAGAGAGAAATCCACTGGGAAGAAGAGAAAGTTCATTTTGCAACAATGGTCCAACCACGAAAATGTAGCTTCTTAAAGAGTAAAAAAAAGTAATTTTCTCTTAAAGGTACTAGGAGTTGCTAAACTTTAGAATCTGAACAAAACTACCTACAAGACAATCTAACATCCCATTGATTTCTACATATTTTACTCTCTATGTAAGAATATAGTAGTTTTTAACAGTTCATTTATTATAAACCCATGAAATGAGGTCTGCTCCATGAACTGCATGAAAGAGTTTGTCTCAACATGGCTCAGCATATCCACAGCTAAGCTGAATTAGCACTGAGCAGGCAGGTCTGGTCCTCACTGCCTCCTCCTCTCTCAGGTTGAAGCCAGGTCTCCCATTTTAAGACCAGTTGCTCATGTTGACTGGAATGGAAAGAGATACAATGAGACACAGGACTGACATCATCAATGACCTCACAGGCACTTGTCACCTCCGACTCATGAAAGGGATCTTCAAACAGAGAACAGCCATCTTTGGGGTAACTAAGACCAAGCAGAAAATTTCAGTTAGCCATTAATTTGGGAACTGATAATCATCAATTCCTGAGGTTGGTAGAGGAAAAAGTATCCTTCTCAAAGGTTCATTTCTGTTTACCTCCCATTACACTCTCTCATGTTGATTTACTTTAGATGTTGTGCACCTACAATTAAGGTTTGAAACTAAGTTTTGCTATTTTTCTTACCTCCCTAATCAACTGCAAACAGAGGAAGTTAGAAAAAAGCAAAGCACCCTTGCTGCTTATTAACTCACCTTCTTACTTAAAGGAAAATTGCGTCCACATTAGTTACAGGTCCAACTCAGGTATTTTTATGTTCCAGTGATGTTTGACTGAGGTTATTGTTTTTGAGATCTCCCCTAGGATATAAGGACTCCAACTCCAAAATAACATCAAGGGCTTGAAGCTGACCAGTCCACCAACTGCAGACTCCACAACGCCAAAGCACCCAGGTCATCATGGGACCCTGACATCTGACTCACACCCTCTACTAATCCTTTGACCAGACTCCCCCTTTTTTTCCTGCAAGACAAAACCCTTACCTCACCTTCCTGCCTCTTCCCCTTTATAAACCTCAGAACAGACATCAGAAGGCAGGATGATTTTAGCCTGGTCATCCCCCAGATGCTGGTTATGTGAATAAACCTTCCAATCCTTGCACCAACTTTTGGACTTTTGAGTCATTTGCTTAGTGTAAGAGGGCAAGCCGAGCCTGCCTGCCAGTAACACTGAAAGTACAGTCATTACTTGATTGTATGATGGGCCAGATAGGGATGAAGGGAGGCAAAGAGTTCCTTATCTTAGCAACAACACAGGCTGGGCAATTTTACAATGTTCTAAACCAAAAATAACTGATGGAAAAAGATATTTCCTAGAAACCCACTTTATTTGGACAAGCTCCCAAGTCAGGGAAAAACAACATCAGTGTCACTCTTCTTTCATCACAAGTATCTCCGATTTTGCAAAATTCTCTCCCACCAGGCACACCACATCCACAAAAGAAAATCGCTGTAGGCATGAAAATCTATTTATAGATGAGTCAGACCATTGTGTGTAACACCCTCTTTGATAAATATATTTTTTAAAAAACCTTTTTCAGTCTAGAGAGATCAAAAACTTTCCAGAATTTAAAGCTGAAGTCCAAAACTATTAAGTCTGAGTGAGCCAGAACTAAGACACAGGAAAATAGAGAACTGAGTACTAATTCAGACAGCGGACAACATGCTGTTAACAGGTACTCTGTTAAGAGGTGAATACATAATTTGGGCAAGAAGGTATAAAATAATTTTTAATTATGCAAGTGATACATTAATGCATTCTTCTTTTTAAAAATTAAGAATTAAATATTATAAGTAAAACTAAGACTATTCCCCCAAAGCATTTATCTCCTCTGAAATAACACTGTTGTTTTCAATGTTTTTGTTTTCAATGTATCCTTCAAGATAGTTTTTAAAAGTATGCACACACATGTACATATATATGTATGTGTGTCTATACGCACATGCTCACAGAAATATATAGTTTATGAGTATGTGTGTTTTTACACACAGTGTCAATAATGTATCTTCAATATTTACCTATGCTGATACTGTGACCTAACAGTATCTTGAAATACTAATCTTTGCATTTCTCTGATCCATCATCCTACTAATGCTTCCTACTCAGAGACCTCCAAATTGATTTAAGAATAGATTCCCTGAGTAGTAATTAAAAGAGAAAAAAAGACATGCGCACACATGCGCATTTTTACTACTTAAGAATCAAATGGGAAGACCCTAAAGAGAGCAAGATAAGCATAGAATTTATGCCTTAACAATGGACCAGAGAGAAAATAGAAGGAAAGCGAGATGAGAATTATTGTATCCCCCCTGAAACATTTCACAATGTGACTGTCAAAGAATATTGGGTTAATGCTTTAAGAATCTGACACAGAAGTCACAAACTTAAATATCTATGGAAGCTAAATAGATTATACAAATACCCGATGCATTTCCCCTATAAAAGTGAAGTGTGGTTCTTTTTTTTTTTTTTTTTTTTTTTTTTTTTTCCTTTCCGGCAACGGATCGCAACCCTCAGTGTCGCCCCTGTACCGGACCGGGACCGGCAACGGGATCGCAACTCTCGGCGTTGCCCCCGCGCCTCGCTCAGCCAGTGAGCGGGAACCGGTCTGTATGTGGGATCCGAACCCTCGGCGGGAGCGCCTCTGCGCTTCCCAAGCAGCACACTAGCACAGGAAGTGTGGTTCTTAACTATCCAGGTGTAGGAGCAGAAACTTGACAGAGATGTATAATTTTTAGCAATGGACTGCCAACAATTTTTAGTAATGGACTGGAAATATTAATGATACATATGCCACATAAAAACAATCATTGATGACCTCCTGCTGAATAAACTTATTGCTTTAAAAATCAAAATGTTCTGGGCTTCAGATGCATGGCTTACGGAGGGTATCATCAACCTACCTTGAAGATGAAATCAGCCATCAGAGGTCCTGGAATCTTAAAGGTTTTCCTGTCTGAGACCCTCTGAAATTCAACTGTTGTGTTTTCTACAACAAAGACTCCAGAGCTGTTAAAGCTGTGTTCTCCTTTGGTTCCTTGAAGTGTTTTTGATTCAATAACTAAAATTTTAAAAATAAAACTTAAATAAGAAAACTATCTTAACAACATTTTATTTCAAAAGGCATTTTACCAAGTATGATATCAGCATACATCAATATAGTATCAAAATATCCACTCAGTTTACAAACATTGATTCACACTGGCAGAATAGATATGTCAGACTTTTAGTTGCCCATAAAAAGGAGGTTACAAGGTGGTAGGCCCAAACAGGTCTACTAGATTCTTTGGAGCCATTTCTACCATAAGGGGAAAGTGAAAACTTTTCTTTCTTTATATTTTTTCATGATGTAACTAATACTTGAGTAAAGCTATGTTTGCTCACTTTATCACCTGTTCAGAAGATCATAACCCTAGTCTTTCTTAAGCAAAATCAAAGGGAATCTCAAGTTGTTGTTTTTTTTTTTTTTAAGNCTTTGCATTTCTCTGATCCATCATCCTACTAATGCTTCCTACTCAGAGACCTCCAAATTGACTTGAGAAGAATAGATTCCCTGAGTAGTAATTAAAAGAGAAAAAAAGACATGCGCACACATGCGCATTTTTACTACTTAAGAATCAAATGGGAAGACCCTAAAGAGAGCAAGATAAGCATAAAATTTATGCCTTAACAATGGACCAGAGAGAAAATAGAAGGAAAGCGAGATGAGAATTATTGTATCCCCCCCTGAAACATTTCACAATGTGACTGTCAAAGAATATTGGGTTAATGCTTTAAGAATCTGACACAGAAGTCACAAACTTAAATATCTATGGAGGCTAAATAGATAATACAAATGCCCGAAGCATTTCCCCTATAAAAGTGAAGTATGGTTCTTAACTATCCAGGTGTAGGAGCAGAAACTTGAGAGAGATGTATAATTTTCAGCAATGGACTGCCAACAATTTTTAGTAATGGACTGGAAATATTAATGATACATATGCCAC